GAGTCAAAAAGAGATTGGTTTTCGCCTCGGTCCTCCTTTGAACCGAGACCGTATCTTAGAAAATTCAATAAAAAAAAAATTCAAAAAATTGTTGAACCTGTTGGGATTCATTACAGAGCATCAAAGTTCATATACATTACAGAGCATATAACAAAAGCCACTGGGATGAAAGAATCAATGTTCTTCATTACAGAGCATATAACAAATGGAAAAAAAAATCAGAAAATAGAATCCGAAAATCATTACAGAGCATCAAAGTTCAGATCACATCAGAAAATCAGAAAATAATAGTTCAGATACATTACAGAGCATATAACAAATGGAAAAAAAATCAAAGAAACTCGGGATTCATACTTTTGAAACCCAGCCTCAAACCCCATTTCCCAGTTTCTGAAAATCGTCAACGGCAAGCGGCTCCTGATAGCAAGCGGCAAGCGGCAAGCGAGTGCTAGATCAATGACTCCACCATTGGCACGGGATCTGGATCTGGATCTGGATCTGGATCGGCCACCGCTTGCTCTTCACTCCAGAGGCGATGCAGTCGCAGGCAAGGTGGAAGCCGCACTCGAAGCCGTTGCACACGACGAGTTGGTGGTGGCTCCTGATGGCGGCGAGGCGAAAGGTGGCGTGGAGAAGGAAGAAAAAACCTTATTTCCGTGGCGTGAGAAGATGAAGATGGTGGTCGCGGCGTGGTTGAACGGCGGTGCTTGCGGGTTTGCGCGTGGTGGCCGGCAGCGTGGTTAAACGGTGGTGCTTGCGGCGACCGTAATGGCTGGTGATGGTGGCAGTCTGATGATGGGGTTTGGTGGAGAGGAGAAATCGACGAAGGGAGGGAGGCAAAGATGAGAGCGAGAGCGCGAGAGATGAGAGCGTGAGAGATGAGAGCGCGAGAGATGAGAGCGAGAGTGTGAGAGTGTGAGAGTCTGAGAGAGGGTTTTTGATTTTAACTTAAGGGTATATTGCCTCGGTTATATTTAAAATCGGTGCCTAAACCCTTTAATTGCATCAGTTACACGGTGAACCAGTGCCTAAACTATTTAAGATTTATATTATATGCCTCGGTTGGCCTTTTACTCGAGACAGTAACATCTATAGGCATCGGTTCAAATATAACCGAGGCATATAACTGCTCAATATNTTTCTTAATGAGGATGTTTTATAATTTAGTTTAAGAATGAAACAATTTTTTATAATAGCTTGAAATGAAAAATATATTTAACCTCGATAATAATAAAAAAAAGTAGTAGTAGTAAAGCAAAGAAAAATCAAGTTTGTAAAACAAGACTGAAATAATATTACCTGTTATATTCTGATCCACCTCTTGAAAATTTTCAATGGTGCCACAATATGAAGAGTGTCTGATAACTTACTTAAGAACTTAAAATATGCATGACGCCAAGAACGTATTACTGAAATTGAACCAAATACTCCCCAAAAGCTTATAATAAATCCAATTGCCATACTTATATAATATTCACGATTGAAAATCAAATTGTCATTCTCTTGTAATTTAACAATTGGCTCTTTTCTTGGCACTCCATCAATGCACAATTTCTTTAATGGTGGTCCACAAAGATCAACATTATCTTCATATTTCGATGCATCAAAACTCTGTAATTGTGTGCCAATTGGAATTTTTCCAGATAAATAATTGTGTGACAAATCTAATGTAGTGAGTCGATCAATTTGAGCAAGACTTGAAGGAATTGAACCAACAAGTTGGTTTCTTGACAAATCAAGAAATTCAAGTGATGTTAACTTTCCAATATTTGATGGAATTTTCCCCGTCAAATTGTTTCTTGATAAATTCAGTGAAATCAAACCAAATAAGTCCTCCACTTCTTTTGGAATTTCTCCTGAAAATAGATTGTTTGAGAGATCAATGCTTTTCAAAAGTGATAATCCATTATTTGTGAACATTTGATCTGACCCTTTCCACATCAAAACTGCATTCAAATTGTATGAAATAATTTCGACGTAGGTGGTGTTGGCCAAATACCAATGATCTTCATAATCTCTCAAAGAAGTCACTTGAGTCATTGAGGAGAAGTTTTTTATACATTTAGGAATTTGACCAGATAGGTTGTTTAACGAGAGATCCAAGAGTTGAATGCTTTTTAGATAACAAATTTCCAATGGTAAGCTTCCATAGAAGTAATTGCTTCTTAAACTCAAAAATTGCAACTCTAGGAATTTCCCTCCAATCCATTTTGGGATAGATCCTGATAATCTATTTTCTGCCATATCTACCATTACTAGCTTTGTGCAATTCTTTAAGGAGGAAGGGATTTCACCTATTAAGTTATTGCTTCTCAATAACAAAACTTGAAGTTCAAGGAGTGATCCCATTGAAAAAGGAATATTTCTTGAAAATTTATTTTGACTCATGTTTAAATAAGCCAATGACTTGAAATGAGTCCAACAATTTGGAATTTGTCCTGAAAAGTTATTATTTGAAAGATCTAATTGGTATAAAGTTCCAGCTACACCGCCAGAACATAAAAACCAAAGAGAATCTGTAAAGTTATTATTGGATAGATCAAGATAAATCGAGTCTCGTAAAAATAGTGGAACAGATCCTTCAAATTGATTTGATGCAAGACTAAGAGAATCAAAACGATTCTCTAGTGACAAATTTGGAATCACACCCTGTATATTGTTACATGAAATATTGATATTTATCCTCTCTTGCAATGCAAATTTAGCCCAAAACCATTTTGGAAGAGTGTCTGATATTCCATTATTTGAAATGTCAAGGCTTCTAAGTTCATTTTGTTTCTCTAGCCATTTGGGAAATAATGGACCTAGTTTGCAAGATCTTAATGCAATATTAGTCAATTGAAAAGATGGATCCAAATTTTGACTAAATTTTACCGTCAACAAGTTATCTGATAACACCAGTGTCCTTAACTTTGAAATATTAGAAAAATGAGAGTCAGTAATCACACCTTTCAAAGAGTTTGACATCACATGGAGAACTTCAAGTTCTGTTGGAAATCGGAGATCTTCAGAAATTGTCCCATTCAGCTTGTTATTATCAAGGTACAACCTTTTTAATGATGAGAACATGGAGAGGGTGTTGGGCAAAGTTCCGCTAATTTGATTCATGCTCAGATCTAAACGTTGCAATGAGTATCTAGCATATTGGCACAGGTGATGTATCATTGCTGGAAGATTTTCACTCAAACTATTATTGGATAGGTCCAATATACGCAAAACACTAGCATTGTAAATCAATTTTGGAACTCCATCCTTTAATTGATTTCCTGATAGATCCAACATTTCCAGCTTCAAAAATATTGAGAAATCAGGTACTGGGCCATTGAATTTATTTTCATTGAGATATAGTTCGCGCAATGAGTATCTAGAATAGTCAGACAAATGATTAAATATGATTGTCAGATCTTCACTCAACTTATTGTCAGACAAATCCAACGACTGCAAACTACATGTGCTCCCAAACGATTTTGGAACACCACCTTCTAATAAGTTAGACCCAATTGACAACTGCTCCATTTGAGATGGCAATCTGATGCCTTCAGGTATCTTCCCACTCAATTTATTGTTAGAAAGATCCAATGTTTTTAAAGATGAGAATCCTGAAAGGTCAGTTATGGAGCCTGTGATTTCATTATATGTCAAACTCAACTCTTGTAGTGAATATCTAACACAACCACTGGATAAATTATGAAGAATTGACGAAAGGTCTTCGGTCATATTGTTTCTAGACATGTATAAAGAACGAAGGGTGCATGTATTCATGAATGATTTCATATCCTCGCCCTTGAACATATTATGGGAGACGTCAAGGTGCTCAAGCCAATTCATGGTCAAGCCAAAAGGATTTGAGGTAGAACCCTTCAAGAGGTTACCTCGAAGCTCAAGCTCAACAAGGTTGGAAGTGGTGTTTGACAGCCACTGGAATATCGTTGATTGCGTGAAGGAGTTGTGAGAAAGATCAAGAATAGAAAGGGAAGTAGAAAAATTGAAGTTGGAAGGGTTGAATGAAAGGAGAAAATGATCGGAAAGACCACAATTAATTAAACTCAGTTCTCTTATTTTTGGTAGCTTGGAAATCATTCGAAGAGGACCAGGAGAACTGTTAAGGTTAAATATAAAATCCAAGGAAAGATGGGTTAAAGAAATAAGATTAGATAGCCACTGATCACCACTGAGAACAGTGAGACCTCCAAGATAAAGCTCATGCAGATTTGAAAGGTTTCCAAATTGGGATGGTATGTATCCTTCAAAAGAGTTGAGACTGAGATCAAGATACTGTAACTGGAAGAGATTTCCAAGCTGAGATGGCACACTTCCTTCAAAAAAATTGTCTTCAAGATCAAGATACCGCAACTGGGAGAGATTTCCAAGCCGAGATGGTAAACTTCCTTCTAAAAGATTGCCTCTGAGATCAAGATACTGCAATCGAGGAAGATTTCCAAGTTGCGGAGGGATTGAACCCTTCAAATAATAATTGAAAGCAAGATTCAAGTATTTCAAACGAGAAAGAGAACCTAACTGGCTTGGAATTTTTCCACCAAAAAGAGATGAAGACAGATCAAGGTATCTCAAGTTTCTTAGAGAACCAAGAAAGTCTGGAATTTGAGTACCTCGAAAAGCATTGGAACTGAGGTTCAAATACTTCAATTGTGACAACTTCATCAAGGACTTGTGAATTTTTCCGCTGATATAACGTTGAGAGACTTCATAATTTCCACCAGAAAAATATTCATAATGAACTTCTCCATGAAGGTCGAGGCTTACAATATGGGCGGTGAGGTTGTTGCAGCGAATCCCCTCCCATTGGCAGCAGTGGGGAGTGGTCCAAGAGGAGAGAATGCCGCTGTGATCGACAATGGCAGCCTTGAATTGAAGGAGTGCTTCCCTCTCCTTTGTAATGCATTGTCCATGAGCAACCTGTAACACCACACTCACCACAAACATAAACATCATCACTTTGAGAATATTCATGGTCATGAAATAGAAAGTGAAGAGTATAGAATTAGATTAATATGTGTTGTGAATTTAGCACTCCTAATACCCACATTTATACTCACACCAACTCCTTCATTACCTATTCTTCTCACTCTTCTGCACTGCTTTCCCATCCTTCATTCTGAGTCGTTGGTCGAGGCATTTTTTAATCACTATAACTTAACTTATCTGATGCATAGAATACACTGTAAATTACGTAGCATCTACTACGAAATTGCTACCAAATGAAATGCTGTTGCTTTTGTAGTATGAGACAAATTTGGTAGTTGTGGAATAAATCAATCATCCGACCATTTTTTAGGACAATAATTTCATTTTAATGTCAATTGACTTCGATGACTTGTGAATTTCATTTTAAATTTTCACAATGTTATATGAAGAAATAAACTATCAAATTCATCCTTATGAAAGAGTTCGATGTTGTAAGGCAAAAGTCAATAGCTTTTTTCTTCTTTCTCGCGTCCTCCTTTTTCACCGAGAACTTTTCATAACTTTCCCGTCTAATGAATCATTGATTTTGGAGTCTTTTGCCTAGAGCAGGTCTTCTACCTATGGACCTTCTGTATAGGAAAAAATGAAGAGGTGTCATCAAGAAGATTGAAGATTTTTAGGTTTGTAAAAAATGAAGAAATGGTGCTTGAAAATTTTGAGGATTTCTTACATTGGGAAAATAAGAGGAAGTACAGGAAATTAAATTATTTTTAAGTTACCGACAGTTTTATTACAAATTGCCAAAATAATTGAAAACAAATAAATGTACTTAATACTAACAGAGGTTTTCAATAAAATCACTGAAAAATATTTGGGATTATTAAAACCGTAGGTAAAATACTGTCAATAAAATTTATTATTTTTGTAGTCTTATTTACAACAGAGTTGAATGCTCACCTAAGTGTATTTGAGACATCCTTTACTCCTATTCAACGCTAAAACAAGGTATAATAGAAAACATAAGCCTATGTAATTTTTCAAACAATATCTTTTCAAATGGAAGACATTCTACTATATTTTAAAGATTTTTATATAGTTCAACTTGTGATAAAAAAAAAATCTTCTTATAGAATTTATTTTCATACATTATAAGAAAAGAAAACAGATTTATCAATGTGTAAAATTCGTCAGTAATCACCAATATTTATCGGTACATAAAAATTACCGGCTTATCGACTTTCAAAATTTAGTCAACAAAAATGCTTGTTAGTAAAATTTAAGGACAAATAAGAAAATTCATTAATAACTATCACTTTCAAAGTCCATAAAACACTACAAAAATAATATATTTTAAGAGGGGTTATTTTCCGGCTTTCTAAGAACCCCGAAGAGTTTCGGCGGTTATGCCCAAAAACGCAGTTAGATTTTTTTTATTATCACTTATTACCTCCAAATTAGTTTCCTCTCCTGTCTGCACCTTCATTTCCTATCCTTCTCCAAAACCCTAGCTCATCTCTCTCTCTCGCCTTCATCTTCCGTTCTTCAAACAAGGCATCACACCCCATTCTTCAAACAAGGCCTCTTCCATTTGTATTGGTCTTGGTCTTCCGTTGCATTTGTGGGCTGAGCGAGGCTCCAATCGTTCGTCATATCTTATGATATTGTGACACAGTTGTGATTGTAAGACATTCCATTTTCATGGTATTTTGTTGTAGTGGTAATATGTGTATATACATAATATTAAAAATTTGCAATTCTAGAACTATGGTGAGAAATGCATGTAGCAGAGGTGTGATCCTAAGATGATCAGTTGGCTAATATGAACACCCACGATGTCGTCAAATTTTCACGTCTTCTCGACAACGAGATTCACATTCTCAAGGTACAACTTCTCTTTTCTATTTCTATAACCCTAAACCTATTGATTAAGCTATTAGTTTGATGTGTTCGTTTTCGTCTTCTTAGCATTAGGGTTTCTGACTTTAATTGAAATTTTTGCTTTGGTTGAAGGAAGAGTTGAAGAGGACCGATCTGAAATTGGAATCTTATAGATCAAGGATAATTCAAAATTTTCATTGTGTTGGAGTCTGTTGGCATTCTTTTGAAGTCTGTTAACCTTGATCTGAGTAAATACGCAGCTGAAATTCTTTCAGTAGTATTAGCACAAGTTCGACATGCTGATGAAGGGAGGAGGGATAGGGCACTATCTATAGTCAGGAGTCTGAGCCATAGCTTCTTGGGCAGTTAGATCCACAGACGCCATTCAAGAGAGTTTGGTTTCCTTTTTTGTTTTTGGCCTCAAAGAGAAGGAAACGTTAAGAAAGTGTTTTCTTCGCAGTCTACATACTATTTCCAAAAATGAAGATGCTATCTTAAAGGTGACAAGTTCCTTTGGTTTGTTATAATTGCTTCTCAATTTATCTTGTGCATGAACTTGACTCACTCATGTTTCAATTAAGTATATTTCAGATGTTACCGTTGTTTGGTGCTCTTGTCCAACTTGTTAAAATTGGCTATACTAAACTAATGCATTGTTTAGATGGCATGTACGGATTGTTACTAGTTGCAAAGATAGTTGTTGTTGATATTAAAGCTGGTTTGTATTAATAGAAATCTTTATATTTTTAAAGTTGAAGTATTGGTGTTTTGTTTTTTCTTTTTAATTTTTGGATTGCCAAAATTTTTCATTTGTTCTGTTGTGTTCTACTTGCCTAGAGGAAGCATTGGTAAAATAAAAGATATGGGCTCTGATATCACAAAATGAATCTTCGGTTGTGCCAATTTCTATGGTGATTACTCAACTAAAAATTATTTATAGCATTACACAGGATTTATTCTACATATCTAAAAATTTGCTCTGCAGTCTTTAAAGCTATCAATTGAGGATAGCATGGCATGTGTTGATCTTCTTGAAGTGCTTCTTGTGGAACATTTACAGCGGTAAATTTTATTATAATGCCAAAAAGTTGTCTATAGTTTACGTCTTTATTGTTGTATACTTTATTGTGTTTTGTTTTCTTCATCTTGCAGTACAATATCCAACTTCTCTGTCAGATTGTTGTTACAGGTAAAACATTTTGCATTTTATGAGGAACCTATATATTTTAAGTTGACTCATTTATTGTTAACTTAATGCAGTTACTGTTTTTTTTACATGCCATCCGAGGTGGAATATTCGAAGAATGACATATAATGTTACTAGGAAGATTATCACGTCTCCTTGCAAAATTCTGACATTTCTACCAAGTCAGTCCTAAAATAAATTTGCAGGGGAATAGGCCCCGGTTCTGAGGGGAATCGCGACCTATTGTGCTTGCAAAATTCTCACATTCTGACTAAGTCAATCCTAAAATAAACTTGGAGTCAGACCGTCAGGGAATAGGCCTCGGTTCTAGGGGAACCACGACAGATGGTTGCTACAAAATTCTGACATTTCAGCCAAATCAGTCATGAAATAAATTTGGAGTCAGACAGTCAGGGAATAGGCCTTGGTTTTTGGGGGAACCGCGACCTATTGTCCCTACAAAATTCTGATATTCCCCTCAAGGCAGTCCTGAAATAAATATGGAGTCAGACCGTCAAGGAATAGGCCTCGGTTCTCAGGAGAACCGCGGCCTATTCCCTGATCTGAACAAATTTTAAATATTTAAGTGAATAGGCCTCAGTTCGGCGGGGAACCGCGACATAAAGGTTGAAGAAGAAAATTTCAAAATTTCCATTTCAGATCAATTTTTTTTTTAGGAGAATAGGCCTCGGTTATGTTGGGAACCGAGGTCGTATCCCCTCTATTATCGCGGTTTTCTAATGAATTGCGGTAGTAACATTTGATTAGGTTAAAAAAATATTACAGAGAGT